AAGTTTAAAATAGTCAATAAATAGTTTAAAAATAGTGATATTATAGTTTAAAAATAGATAATAAATAGTTCAAAAATAGTGATAATATAGTTTAAAAATAGATAATAAATAGTTCAAAAATAGTGATATTATAGTTTAAAAATAGATAATAAAAAGTTGAAAAATAGTGATAATATAGTTTAAAAATAGATAATAAATAGTTCAAAAATAGTAATAATATAGTTTAAAAATAGATAATAAATAGTTAAAATACATCCCAGCTTGTTAAAAATAGATAATAAAAAGTGGATATAATATTGCCCAAATAGATTAAAAATAGTTAAAAAATAGTAATAACATATTAAATAAATAGTTAAAATATGTCCTGTTAATACAGTTAAAATAGCTATTAAATATAGTTTATACAAATACATATAGTCTATAAATATTATTAAAATACTGTATATTATAAATACCAGTAGTTATAACACAGATAATAAAAAGTTAAAACATATAATGTAAATAGACTTTAAATAAAATATAATTAGTAAAAGAAATTGAGAACAAGTGTCGAAGTGCTGAAACGTCAGAGGCTATTACGGACCTACTTTAGTATTTACCGTCTGTAAATGCCAGACAATTTTACTTATCAGTAGGTAGAGGTCTGTCAATAAATGAGTTAAAAATCTGTAGTTAGCATTCTCTATAGTAGCCAAAGAGTTACGTATCTACATACAGTAACTTGGCTGGGGACTGGGCAGAAAAAAAGCAAGAACATCATGTAACATCAAAAATAGGGCGAAGCTCAGCTGCAGCTAGTTCAGGCCTTCTTTACAGGTTAGAAAAAACATTTATATATTTGAATAATACCCTGAATCTAGCTGGATATTTTAACTGAATCCCTGAATCTAGCTGGATATTATGCCAACATATACCCTGTATGCAGCTAGATAGCAAAAACATTCTATCCTGCACACCCCTATACAAAGAACTTCATTCTTCAAATAAGTAAGGATCAGGTAAGAGCAAATTGCTCCTTTATAGGTGTTAATATTTAGGTGAGATATGGGCGAACATGCCACAGTTGGTAAGTAAAATTGTCTAGCATGAAATGTCAGAGTTAAATAATAATATCAAAGTACTTAAGTAGGAAGCGTTATATGTCAACATGAAACATGGGCAGAGTCTAGTAAGCTAGCTAGACACTTCCCTTGATGAATAAAATTGTCCGGCATTAGGCAAGATAACATTTAATAACAAAGTGCTGAATATTGGGCTCATTGGAGTGAAATGGGTAATTCCAAAAACAATCAAACCCTTGCCGGGATGTCTCTATTAAAATATATAAAATGAATCCCAAAGGTTGTTGCATATATTATTAAGAGGCAGTCTCTGTAAGAACCTCATGACCTCTTTGGATCAAGAAATAGATTTCTCTCAAACTTGGTACTTGAGATTGCCTTTATAAGGGTTGCTTCAAAATGCATCTTGTTTTCAGTCTAACTGCATTTTGGCAAAGTTCCAGGGGGGTCAAGTTGAGGGCTAAAATTATGATTTTTGCTGTTTCTCAATAGTGGATTTTTACTGATTTTTAAACCTCTCTATATCAAACAAAAATAATGATAAACTAAATCCTTCCACACAATAGTAGATTTATATGTCTTAAGTAAAAATATATCTACACATTTTTCAAATATGTTTTCTAAATATAGAAATGACATCATTCATGACAGACTAAAATAGAGATTTCCAAGTTTCTGAAAAATTGGTGAAATAAAACCCCTAAAATTGAAAGACTATAAATATTTTTGTAAACATAATTTCAATGAACTGATGAAAAATTTAAAATTGACTAACTCAAACTGGGAAATTTTGACCAGTTAAATAAATACATTTACCCTTTCTAAATTCTCACAACTTTCTATTTGAATAGGAAATAAATAGCTTTTAAGATCAAATTATTTTGCTATTTAAGTGCCTTTTTTAACTATATATCTAGGGGGGCAATTGCCCCCCAGGGAAAGAATTCCCCCCCCCAGTAAAGCCATTTCTGCCCCCGAAGCGCGAAGCAGAATTGCTCATGATTGCTGTCAGAATTGCGGTTGATTTACTTGATAATGAGATTATGCCCTTCCATAGCCTCCTCCACAGCTATTTTGTGTGTAATTCATATTATTCTTCACCGAGTATTTCATAATAGCGATAGATTTCATGCAAACAATCCGATAAAATGCTGGTTCCCAGAAGATTAGATTTAGTTTAGATTTTTAACGGTTAAATACATAAATGCATCATCATAGCACGAATGTTTCTTCTCAGATTTATTCTGTATCGTATGAAAAAGCAACACAATTTTGAGAATGCGAAAATGGTGTCTCATAGAACCGAAAATGATTTAAATGCAACATTTCTGATCAAAATCACATAGTGCCCCCCCCCCCCAGCATCACAG